AGTTGATCTGGCCAGATAGCATCAGTCCAAGGGACAACAAAGAGACAGCGACTCCTTGAGGTCAGAGGTCGGGCTGATGGTAACGTTTCCGCTGCTGTTCTGTATTCTGTGTCTTCTGTTGTAGCCGCGGCACAGACGACCCAGATAACAGACTCTGTTAGACACGCGCACACCCCCCCAGCTCCGGTTACACGTACACCTGAAGCTTGTGGTCCTCGTCTCCACAACAGGTGCATTCTACGCTCCTCCGGGGCTACGTGAAACCCAAAACCTCTGGAGCGTGTCTGAGTAGAAGACGCAACGTTCCCCAGACCTCCGACCATAGCCGGCAGCACCTTTGGCGCAGAGAGCAGGCGAAAAAGGGAATGTTGACCTCTTCCCTTTTTTTTTGTTTTATTTCCATAGAGACACACATAAGAGGAGATACGGGACGCACTGATCGACGAAGAGGAGTCTTAGTCTTTTCTCCTTCTCAGCTCACACAGCGTTCTCTTGTTTGGCCCAGTGAGGAAGGTCTCGACACCGACACACTTCTTTTATCACGGCGCTCTGCCCCGTGGCCTCTCGAGACAGATAGTCGTCGTGGTCACAGGCGCGTCGCGTCCGTCTGAGATCGTTACCACAGGACTCTCACATTACACGGACACAAAAGGATGTCGGAGCGCGCGCGACCTTCATGTCTACTTTGTTTTCACCGCCGTGTTTCTGTCGCTCTTGCGCCTCTTTCACGCTCTTCTTTTGAGCTTAACACCACGACCCCCCACTGGTCTGCTTATTGCTACGACCTGGCTTGAATCAGTCGCAAACAACAACAGCCCCCCCCTGCCCCCTCCCTCTCTCTCTCTCTCTCTCTCTCTTTGTCTCTCTCTGTCTCTTTCTTTCTCTCCTTCTCTGGTTTGTGTCAACTCCTCTCCCAGACACAGCAGCAAACCACACCACTGACGTAGTTACGCTCTGGTGAGTCCAAAAGGACAACATCGCCAGGACACGGTAAATACGACACCCTGGTGTCACAAAGCTGTACTCCCTCCAGGCCTTGTCTTGGGCCTTCGTTCTGTGTGCGTGTTAGAATCCAGGCGTCTCGCCGCTGTCCGAGTCACTGACCCTTAGAAAGCAGTGTTGTTTGTTCAGAGCTTTGGCCTCCCTCCTCGGGACACCCAACGCAAACTGGTCCTTCTAAAAACCGCTGTTTGTGCCTGTTTGCGGTTGGAAGCGGCCGGATGGACCAGTTCCATCACTCAGCCGCCAGCCCGGAGCGGTGCGCTCACTCCCCCACTTTGGCATTTCTTTTCAGGTTGCAACATGAAGGCAATGTTCGTTTTGTCACCTGGCTTTTGATGTCACTGGACAAAGATACGGCGGTGGAGTGTTCCCCTCATTGTCAGCGTGCCTGAACTATCTTTTCTACCGTGCAGAAGATCAGAGGGATGGAGCGCGCTGGATGATGTCGCTGTTTTTGTGTCCTTTGTTACGACCGGGTTCAAAGTGGACCTCAGCTGCATCAGAGGCCGTATAGCAGTCGGGCACACGGCCTGTCGGAGCGTCTGTCAGGCTCACTGTCCTTGATAGACAAACAATGTCACACGTATTCTATGAGGAAACACTCGCACACGGTATCCATCAACCTGTCTTGTTTCACATACTCTAGTTACTTATCGTAGCATCTCCTCTGGCATCTCACAAGTTAAATAGGCCACGACCAATCTGATGCTGACGGTGAACACACACACACACACACACACACACACACACACACACACACACACACACACTCGCAGAGGTAAAAGGTGCCACTCTTATCAAATGCATCGCCCAATTCATAAGCTACGATGGCCTTTTTTGTTGTCCCCTTGTCTTCGCTTTGCTCCTCTGCTTAACTCTTTGCACCCTATCAAGTTTGTTCATGTAGCTGGAAAGGGTTTGACTGGAATCAACAGCCCCGCAGGGCTTCGGAGCAACTTCGTAGCTCTCTTAAGTGTTCATGAGGCTGAAGACCTTGCCAGAGCTCAAGGCTAAAGGTACGTAAACAGAGATATAGTGGAGCGCTCGTGCCAACAGGCGTACACGCGACTTATGTACCCTTTTCTAAAATACAGTGCAGCATAGAAACTAACTCGCTGGAATAGGGAGGTCCTTCCTTTGTGGATGTGAAGGCATACACATCTGTAGTTCTATTAAGGCCCGACAGAAAATGTACTACCACATTCAGCCAAGTCTTTGTCAATGTGAAGAAGAAAGCGAGGAAGACACAGACATATCTGCATCTTACATCATCCTCTTAGGGTGAGATTCTTCTGAAGTCTAAAGCAATAAAATGTTACGGATGATTAAAGTGTCAGGTAGAGGAGGCATGATGTGATTTATTGAGGTATAAGTGCTTTTTTCCAGCTTGGTAGTCAGGATTGGTGTGGTTGAAAACAGGCTGAGGGCAAAAAGGAGAAAATCCAGTACCATCAAATATTGATCAAATATATTGTCCAGCCCTTTTTTTAAGACTAAGATTGAGCCGAGTCGATCAAGAAAATAAGTAATGTTGCAAGTGCAACGTGAATTCAGCACAATCCTGCATTAATCTCTTTCCTAACACCTCTCATTGTTATCGCTTGGCACTGTGCAGCGTTACCTGTTTTTCAGGCCCCTGATTTTACACCCTCACCGTTTTCTTCCAAATAAAAATAGGCTACACACACACACACACACACAAGATAAACTTGAAACTAAGATCCCTGGCACTGATTAGGATGTCACAAAGGAATTCTTTGCGAAACTGCCACCTGTGTTGCCCCCCCTCCCCCACACACACCCCCCTCCAATCCTCCTCCATGCCCTGCCTCTACCTTCTTTACCCAGACTGGTTTATTACACAATTGCAAAGTGGTATTCAAAGTCAAGTCTTTTCCATAGCTGGAGAAGGATCATTTATTCCTCCTCTAAGATCAAATTCAATTCTTAACTTCCGCCGTGAGTCAAACATCAAATGCCCCCTCGACGATGTTGTCATAAAATTTCACAGATAAGTGGGAGCACCCAAGGCTTAATCCTTAATCCGTAGTTTGATTGGCATGCACACTCCACTGACTAAACTAGTAAGCGCTACTATTCTAGCGAGCGTAAGGACATCAGTCAACAACAGTCCATCAACGTTGAACCTCAACTCCCCCCCGATTGCCTGCAGCAGGTGCTCACTACCAGGAGATTCCTCATTTCCTGCTCAGACAAGGTGAGAGAGAAGAAGGGAGAGGATTGTCTCAATCTGAGACATTAAATGAAGGAGCCCTCTGTAGCCTCTCCCCTCAAGGCTCAAATCTACCCAACGCACACGGAGGAATTTATGCTGCCTTTCTTCAAAGGTCATCTGAATTAATAAGATGTTTGTCTTATTCCCTAACGTCAGCAGCATGATGTGCTTAAGGATGAAAGTAGTTAATGTAAAGATGCAAACCACTTGTATCAGAAGGGCTCTGGGTGGTTTCATGGGGGAGATTTAAGCCTCCGGTAAACAGAATCTGTGTGTGCATGTCTGTGCCCTTTGGGTGAGTCTATCGCACCCATAAACAGAGAACCTGAGACGACCTGTCAGACTGCCGCACACACACACACACACACACACACACACAGAGAGAGAATGACTGATGCTTTGTTGTTGTAACAGTGACTGCCAATTTGTCTGCATAAAGAGACGCTTGTTAGCTTTCACATCCGTTCGGACACGTAATTAAGGGAATACAGTAGATTCCTGAGATGACCTGTAACACACAGAACAATGCGTACCTGTGTGTGTTCGACTCGCACAAGCTCTCTGCTATGCTTGTGTGTGTGTGTGTGTTTGAGTATCTGCATTTCAGGAAGAGGAGCACCCTTGTTTGCTCTTCCGTGTTTGGTAACACGTGTTAGGTAAAAAATATTGCCAATATTAACCCGACAATTACACGTGCTCACAACGCGCTGCTGATGAGCGTAACGGACTGAGAGGGAGAAGTTTATGCTTTGACTCATCGAGTTTACGACACACGTCTCATGAGCGGGAAACACAAGCCGCTAAAGGCGGTCGCCGTCGTACATAACTGCATGTTCAAATATACGTGCATCAGGTGTGGTCGCGACGTGGACTCGGGACACACGCGATGAAGACACACGTGGCGCAGGCTGTACTTCACCCGCACGGCCTTTTGATGTTGAAACTCCAAAGATTAAGACATAAACTGCTTATTTTGCCCGTCGGAGAATTGCCGGAATTGCAAATAACTTACAGCCCCGAAGAACTGTCAGGCGCAAATCCCACAGCCTCGGACTAAGAACCCGGCTCCTTAACTGCCCCCTTTAGCGGCGTCTCCCCCCGAGGACGACGAGGCCGCTCAGTGAGACGTCCAGGAGCTGTGAGCCAATTAGCGAGAGCAGCGGTGTGCGTCCAGAGGGTCTGAGGCGCCGCTTTTTTTGTGTGGAGTCTTTACGAGCGCGCGCACACACACACACACACACACACAAGTTCCTGTCACAGCTCATTGACGACTAGCACAACACAGGAATGAGGCGGGTATTGAGGGCGAGGAGTTTGTAAAGTAGAAAAGAAAATACCAGGCCTCTGAACTCTTTCACCCTACCTGCGGTGACTCCAGAGCTGCAGCGACCGGACAGCCGCGGTGAACTGCGAACCTCCTCCCCTCCCCTCTCTCTCTGTCCCTCTCTCTCTCTCTCTCCCCCTCGCTCTCTGTCTACAGCCTCGCCGTATCTATTAAATGCCGTGTGTGTGAAGAGAGCTCTTGTTCTCCTGCCAGTCTTGCAAAGAGGCCCAGAGTTGTGTGAAAGGATCCCATTGAGGGAGCACGGTGTCGCAGTTACCCTTTACAGCGTGTTTGTAGATGCAGATACTCGAAGGAGTGTCATTATGACGGGCGTCTGTGCTTCTGTCGTGCGTTGTTTTTTTGTAATGAAAGACTGCGGTTTTGCATCACGCTACACGACTACGTCTCATTCACCCTGTAATCTATTGCTTCACTCACCCAGTGAAGAATCTCCCTCCTGTCCTCTCGCTCGCCGCACTTTTCTTGGTTATCGGTTCTTCCTTCCCTGGAAACAACACAACAGTCGTACCTGTTAGCCATACACTTAGTTTTGTTCACCCTCTCGACTTGTTATAGTATTGTTCGCCAGCCAAAACAGCATGTTTTTTGCCAGCTAATCGGTTGATTTCCAGCTGTGTGCAGGAGCGTGCGGAGTGCCGGCAGGCCGAGTGGCAGCACAAGAGAATGACAGAGCCGGAGAGGAAGAATGCAGGTCGACCGCTCTCCGCTCTGTCAGCTCCGTGTGCTGCGGTATCGTATCTGCACATCAGGCCGAGAGTGTGTGCGTGTGTGTGACTTAAGAAAACACAAGACTGCTTCTATTGCGTCTCTATGTGTTGTACTGAGTTTGTTTGTCTTAAGCTGTTGCTGAATGAGGTGTTATGTAAATGTTGTGTAAATGTAGGAGTGATGTATGTTCACATTTGACAGTTTCGCTGATATTTCAGGTATAAAGTTTTTACTTCCCTGATTTCCTATTTTTAGATTGGTGTTTTGGTGAAGTGCGTGTGTGCTGTGTGTGACGTCGTCAGGCGGGGCACATGTTGAACACACGGCTCGCGTGTCTCTATCGATTAGCTTTTTATTGTCCGTGACGACAGAGCGGTTTGTGCGTGCGCCCATTTGCTGGTTGCTTTGAACGAGGACCGGTTTAACCACCGAATGTTGTTTTTGAGCGCGGTTATTGGACCCTACTTGTGTGTTGGTTTTGGGAAAGACAGCGTGACCAATTGATGGATGTTTCATTACTGGGTGACATTTTGCCGAGAGCAGCTCTCACGCGCTCTCTCAACGGCACTCTTTCAAAATGTTCATAAAATAGTCCAAACGTCCTGAAATAATTGAGCTGAGATGCACATAATCCCTCTCGCAGTTTTAAGCAGACAACTATTCCAACTAGCTGCAGCAGACTCACTCTTCCAGTATGTTTCCACTAAGTAGTGTTTTCAAGCCATTCCTGCTGTTCCTAAGCTCTGAGTCAAACAGCCTGCGGCGGTGAAACACCACATGACCGACGCGCCGCGCGTTACACCTGATTGCGTAACGCACGACACCCCTGGGCGCCCGCCGCCTCCCGAGTCGCCGCGCGTTCCGCTCCCGCTCACGGACCGGCCGCTCGGCGGCGTTCTGCTTACGTCGGCGAGCCCTCCGCCGCGCTCGGCGTCCGTGTGTGTTTATTTGTCGGAGGGAGGGCTTTTGTTTGTTTTGTTTGAACGCCTTTGACTAATCTGTGTACGCGACGCATGCTCGGTCACGGTTGGGAGCATTGCCGGCGGGAGGAAGGGGGGTTTACTCCCAGTCTTCTGTGAGGAACTGCTGTTGGGGGACGCTGGTGCGCTGACCCCGCCGCGGGCCGGTTTCCCGAGGTCACCGTGTCTCCCTCTCAGACGACCCCTTGACTGCACTGTAAATATTTAGCTCGCCGGGTGCAACCCGGCACTCAAAATAGCTACGTGTCTTTTCATGAGGCATTTGGTCTTTAATTTGGAAAAACAAAAAAAAAGGAACTATTTACGTCTCTTCACTATAATTTTCTTTCGGGCCCTGTGTTCATCTGTTTAACATAAATATCCCTTCACCCTTCTCCTCCTCTCTTCTCCTCCCCTGTCACTCCCCTCCCCAGCGCAGCAGTATTTGTAGTGGCACCACCCAGAACATCAGGGCCCCAAAGCCTGAACACGTTCGGATGTAAACACGGCGATCTCGTCTCTCTCTGCGGCCGCCTCTCGCCGACACTGTTGGCGTCCTCGGCTGCGACGGAAATAGACATTAAGCAAAAGGGAGACCGGTGAACTCCCAACGCGGGCCGATGTAACGCGAGAAAGCTGTTCCGAGCATGTGTGTGTGCGATGGGCCTACACGAGAGCGTGTGTGTGACGCACACACCGACCTGCAGGCACACACACACACACACCTCGCCTTGGGCTTGATCCTTGACTCAGCCGCCGCATCGTTTTAATCGATCTTCAGTAAAGCATTTGTCTTTTCCACTTCTGGTTTTGGCCAAACAGGGTGTGTGTGTGTGTGTGTGTGTGTATGTGTGTGTGTGTGTGTTGTTGCTTTGCTCTCGCCCAGTGACATCTGATTCAAGGCTCATTTCCCAATTACAGCGCTGGCCAGAGGTAATTATAACCTTAGATCAAGAGCTGTTTCTCTTTCTTTCTTTTTGTGGGTCCACTGAAACACAGCACTTTGTGGTGGCTTCCTAGGATGAGCATCCTCCCTCTCCTCCCCCCCTCTCTCTCTCTCTCTCTGATTCTACTCAAACAGCATGCGTCCCTCTCTGTCTTCATCTGTGGATTTTTTCTTTTACTCAAGCTGTGGCACTCCAATGCCCTCAGATCCCTTGCGTGTGTGTGGATATTTTTACGCATGGTTTTGAAGTGGTTCTTCTGAACGCATCATTTGGATGCGTCGGTAGGCTCTTCTTCAATTTAGCCTGGCGGGCGCGCAGACTGGGGTTTGCCTCCGCATGGCGCTCGGTCAGCATTGGCGTGCGACGCTGAGGCCCTTGACGCTGGGGTTTATGCACTCTCTCTCTCTCTCTCTCTCTCTCTCTCCCTCCTCTCTCTTGCCCACCTCCCCTTGCTGAACAGCACCTGACGGGGGTCGAGGGGCACGGCAAAGGCCTTTAATTCGGACCGGAGCAACCCTCTAGAATTCTCTCTCCATCGCTCCGTTGCTAATTGCGCGATGAGCCCTCACTTTCACATGGCCTTGAGGAAAAACAAAACACACGCCCACACATCCAAACTTTCTGCTCCGTCTCCTTCCCTCTCTCCGCCTGCTGCATGACTGACCCACTCTGGTCCACCTCCACCTCCCCGTATCCCTCCTCTCCACCCTGCCCCGAGGCCTCCGAGGCCTCAGCACCTGACTTTTTAACCCTCTAATCCCTCTGAGGCGCACGGTGGACGGATGGGTCGGCCCCCGCCCCCGTAATCGGCCTCTGCTCCCGGGGCGGTTTGGAGACGGAAGGGCAACGCTCAGTGTAAAGATCTGCAGACGTGCCGGGGCGCCCGGGGGAGGGGGTGGGTGTGGGGGGAGTAAAAAAAATACGTCAGCAGAAGATTTAGACATCGGTGCTCTTTTCACCAAAGCTCTTTGGCACACCATAACGAAATGGCAGACGGAGTGACACAAGGGTGGCACACAGGTCCCGGAGGAGCGGTGTTTTGGAGGACAAAGGGCTGTGTCGTCTTAGTCATGCTTCCCGTCCACAGGCTGTCATTTACGTGCAATGTCCCGCGTGGTGATGATCCACCCGGTGTGCTAATGCTAAAGCCTTACACCAGCATGCACAACCGCACACTTTATCGCCAGAGTGTCGTGCGACTAAGTAGTTTGTCAAGCTCCGACTTTGATTTTTAAAACCACGGGCATCTTTACCCCAACTCATTGATGCCGTCTCACTGCATGAAGCAACGCATCCCCTCAGCTTCACGGTCAACAAGTGATTGCACCAACACAGCGGTGCGGTGAGCTTCATGCCCGTAGATAAGAACCGCTTTCCTGTTACGGTCTGCGTATCGTATAGTTGCCTGAAAGCTCTGCACATTAGCGACGGATAATTGGCCCCCGTGGCTGCTCCGCTACATCTGGTAGCCTAATATGAACCAATTACCACTATAACACACTGTCAATGACACAGTAGCTTTTCCTGCGGCATAACGGCAGCCTGTGAGGAAACGAGCGGGACGCCGGTGCAGCGGTTAACAGCGGGGCTATTTGGGTGGTTTATGCCGCCTGTTATGCCCCCGAGGGAAGATTAGGCAATTTTCCATGGCTGTTTGTGTGGGGGGCTGTGTGCAAGGTGGTAATCTGACTGAGAGCTGGAGGGTTTGTAGTCAGAAGACTGCGCTTGTGTGAATGTCGCTTTTCACACTGAGGCTGTGTGTGTATTGATTACTGAGTCCCATTGAGGTCTGTGAGGGTTTGTGGTTGGTTCTGGTGTTTCAACTTTTCTAATATTCGTTAAAATAATAATATGCAGCGTTAACTCTGTGGACTCGTGTTTTGGTGGTTATCACCCCGGCAACAGAGTGCAAAACCTTCCATGGCGCATTGCGAACTAAGGAGATAAGGGTCCATGTTCAAAGACCCCGGCTGGTGCAATCACAGAATGCATTGGCATCAAGATGAGATGGTATCATCTGTAGAAAACAGATACACTCGCTGTTGACTTTTGGCTCCACAATTTGGAACACCGATTGCTTCTAAACGTGTTGTGTCATGCCACTTCTTTGGATGTTGGTTTATTGAGTGGGGTGGCGGGTCACTCTGAGATTTAATCTTTCAGGAATTTGACCTCATCGCTCATTGCTCTGCTGCACACATGCCGAAGGAAAGTGATGGATCTCTGATTTCTAGTGTTGGACTCTCCGCTGCACCACAGTTCAGCTGCAAATCCATAGGTAACAATAGCAGCGCTTTCCATCTCATACGGTGGCACCAACTCGGAACCACCCTGAACGCTTCTGTCCTATCGAACTTTTCTTTTACGCACCCCCCCCCTTCTCCCTCCCCGGCTGAGTCCAAAAGCAGCTCCCCTCCTGCGGTGAACGAGGCCCGGTGCGGCCGAGACGCTCGGCCCGGCCCCCGCGTGCCGCGCGGCGTCCTGCGGTCCCGCGCTGGCGCGCCTCGCTGCCGCCCGGTCGCGACTTCTGCTCCTCGCGCACGCTCGCGTTGCCAAATAGACTTTTTTTACTCGAACGCACATCGCGAAATTCGATGGTTATGTTGGTTGTAAGTTAACGCTTCACAACAAATAACAATATGTAGAGATTTAGTTCCATTTCACCGGGATCATTTGCATTTGCAGATAATACAAACAAATCCCTGCCTTTGTGCAATATGATTAACTGTTGAAAGTTTCGGTGAGTTACTACCGATCAGCGGTGTCTTATATTTAAAATGGGACGAACACTTGACAAACAGTTTGGATTTGACACTGGTGCTGTTTATTTAGATGTTTTTTTTTACTCCTACCTACACGCATTTATCCACATAACCCCGCTAAAGCGTCTTTACGCACGCCTCGGTCCCGTTGCAAGTCCCCGAGCTCCAACATACTAAAAGTCCATCGTTATTGTATCAGTCAAAGAAGGGAACTTCTTACCCTGAACTTCCGAGAAGTGAAGTTGCGACGCGCAGTCGCGCTTATTGCGTCTTTATCCAAGCGGAGCAGCTTATAGAACTTCCGAGACCTAAGCGGTAGTTGTCCGTGTGCGCGCACTCTCTAAATAACAAAACAAAAAACTACGCATCAAACTCGAAGCGAACGTTCTTCATCAAATCCGCGGAGACATCCACCGACCTCCACGTCCAGGAATGCTCTCCAGCGCTGCCTCCCTGGACACGGGAAAGAAAGCGCTTTATCGGTGAGCAGAGGAGAGTTCGGAGGGGGAGGGAGGGGGAGGGAAGGGGCGGGGCGAGCGGCACCAAGTGCGCGCACAGACCGCGGATCGGCGAGCAGCTCACCTTGCGCCGTGTCGAGAGTGGAAGACATTCCTGCCTCCTTTTCGGTTGGCTGTGTCACAGTGCCGACCTGCGCGACCTGTTTTACGCGGGAGACATCGGGGACTGGTTGCGTTTTGGTTTTTCTCCACAGGTGTTCGAATCCACGCGAATGACTATTAACTGCAACAACTGCTTTGCTTCGCTTTTTAGAAATGTGAATTTTAATCGGCTGCTCAGATCACAGATCACTCTGACGTTGGAACATGTCGACACCAAACCGAGCGCAAAATAACCAGAATGCAAGAGAAACATGTATAGTTATAAATAATATATTTATTGCAAGTTGTGTGATATCCATCATCCTCTGAGTCTGATCTGTTCACACAACTCATCCATCCACTGAGGTGTGAAAGTCTGTGTCATCTGTTCCACATATTTGTTCAGTCACAGGACTGTCGCTCGGGCCGGTGGTGTAAATCCCGGTGCAGTGGCAGTAACGGCATTACTGAATGTGCCGTCAGCACGCTGGGCCGCTGCTCTCCATGGCGAGGCGGCCAAACGGCCCGCTGTGTAACGCTGCCCGGGGGAGCCAGTAAAACCGCTGGTTCACTGCCAAGCCAACCGCAGCGCGCTAACGGTTTAAAAAGCCTACGGCACCACACAGCATCTTGTTGCTTATATCTGGGATTTCTTCTTTTTCTTTTGTCAGGTTTGGATTCATTTTGAACAATAATGCATTTTCCTCACCGCTCTTCATGTGCAAATTTGTTATATGTGTGTGCAGAGTAATGCTAAAGTGTTTCCTCAACCAGCAGACTTTCATCACTGTCGCGTTCCCCACCCTAGCAGGCCTTTTGTTTTTGAGTGCTTTCTGACTTCATGACTTAATTTTCCCTTCTCCAGGGTTTGTGGTTACTTTTACACTGTTGCTCAACTTCGTTTTAAGGTCACCTTTGTGGCTCGTGCGTGTGTCGCTGTGGATCTTATCTGACACGTGATTTATTGTTCTACTAAATCACAAGGTTCTACTATTGTCGGGGACGAATGGAAGTCAAAGATGCAGATGCAGAAGTAGTGCCCAATAAAAATTACAGTAAAGCACGGATCATATTTCAACGGCCCGCAAAGATAGAAATGTTTGTATTTGTGATTGATGGATTGGTTTGAGCTTCTAGTCCACACAGGGACAAAGAGCCTCTCAGGAAGGCTTAACCGACTCTAACGGACTAAACGGACCGTCTTTGTCCTTGAGTCGCTGCGGTTTTCTCTCTTGGAGTAATGTTTGCTTTTTATTACTTTTTTAAGTGGTATGATCTTGTTTCTATTAGTGTACTCAAAAAGCCATTGTAAACAAAGCAGCTTTTATATTGTTTTATCACCAATTATAATTCTGTAAAGTGAGTCAGATGTTTTTTTCTTCTTTTTTTTTAGATTTATAATATCAGTTCATTTCCTACTTTTTTCTCTTGATTTTTGTGTCCCAAATCACGTGGTCGTAAACACAACTATGTGTTCAGTATATCGTTAGTACATACAGTGAACACGACAAGCCCTTTGACCCCTGACGCAACCTTCCGTTCGGAACACGAGCAGGTTTGTCGTGGTACCTTTTTGAGAAGTAGGCTAACAAGGAACGTGTCCCTGCAGGAGAAGCTACGGAGAAAGTCATCGTGAATGAGGCAGATTAGGAACATCTCCTTTCACTCACACTTCTCAAATTGATCAACGTGTGCAGATAATTTAGTTTTAGTAACTTTTTTACGCAACACATTTGTCACGTTTCCTCAGACAAAGCCGAAGACAAGTCGCATGTGGGATGCAAAGTGATTATTGGCTTGAGTTCAACCGAGCTTTACGTTTGGTGGTCCTTCTTTTGGTGGCTGTAGATAATGATTGCATTTAAGTTGTGTGGTGGGCTGTTCCTTTGACATTACACACGTGTTGTGCGAAGAGTTAGTCCTGTTTTGTCAATTTTCACCACAATTAGTGAGCACAAAGACGAGGAGAGCGGTTCCCATTAGGAAAGCCTGGGAATGATCTTCCGGGGGGTTATTTTCTGAGCTCATTATTCTCCCCGCCTCCCTCTTTTGCTCCGGAGGCCGAGGTGGCAGTGTGAGTGTGCTCTTTGTTAGTGTTTAGGATATCTGCATATGTATTGGCATCTGTGTGTGTGTGTGTGTGCAGATGCACGCCGTCTCCCTCTGTCAGCGACGACGTGTGTCCCCCCCCCCCGTCACACACAAACGCGCTCTGACGGCGGCAATGTGTGGCCCGCCGTGAGAGACGCGGCGCCGCCTTTCTTCCCACAGCGCCTCGCCGTCCGGTGAGGCAGGAAGAAAAAAACACACACATCCGTGGGAAGGAGCGCCGCGCTAAAGGCAGGCGAAACCCGGGAAGAGCGCTGAACATCCGAGGTTAATTAGCCGCCGCCATGGGAACCGGGACACGGTGGAGAAACATGGTCAACAGAGAGGGGAATAATGAGTGTGCTCAAAGCAGAAGTTGTCACTGTATGTGTGAGAACAAACACAAACTGTCATAATAAAAATGCACCAGATAAGATAAACGGGACATGTTGACTCTTCCAACCTGTCCCCTCTTGTCGGACTTATAAATCAATCTCTCGTGTCATGAATCTGTCACGCGGGGGAGGAACCTTTCCTATTAAAACACGTGTTTGTTGCCTGGTTGACGTTCCGTAGCTCATCGCTGGTTATTCTCAGCCAAAGTGTGTCCCAAACTGAAGTGCGGTCTTAAGGGGCAGAGGGCAGAGGGGTGCCCACCGAAAGCATCATTTCGCCCTTTCTCACCATCCGTCACGTGGAGGGAGTGTTCGACAGGTCGTGTTAACAAGCCTTTGCTTTGGGAAGCGCAGACGGGATGTCACAACAAGCATGAAGAGAAGTGTCCGGCTGCTGTCTGTCGCTTTGTCAATAGTCTTTTCTTTGTTTTGCGCTTTTCAGTGCGATGGCGTATTTCCTCACGGCTGTTTCCGTGGCATTCGGGCCTCGTTGGAGCTTCATTTGAGCCACTTACGTCCGCGAACAACGCGGAGAGAGGCCCTCAACACAAAGGTCTCTTCACTGCAGTTTTAATGATTGCGGGAGCTTTCTTTTCCTCGCAGAGGAGGGCGAGACGGCGAGCACACAGAGACCTCGGGAGGTCACACCGCGGTTCACTTTGAGGTTTACTGGCCTGTTGACTGTGCGCTCGCTTGGCACTTCTCATTAAGGGGGAGAGACGGACGCGGATGTCTCAGAGCCGGACGACTTTTATGGTTGAAAGGGATGAAGGATCCATTGCAAAAACAATCCTGGATTTACCAACTTATCGAGAGCGCGTTTTCCCCCCCGGCGACTGTGCGCTTTGCACATTTAGCTGTCAAAGCCTATTAGAGCAGACGTATGCGTATGCGGGTGCTGAGTCAGCAGCGGCGTGCTGCACTCCCCGCATGGAGCAGTTTAGGGCTTGTTGTCGGTCCCCCCCTCGAGGTAAAAGATGATGCTTTGTGGCCGCAGCTCTGCTGAGAGGGACGATGGAAGAGGAGCGAGGTGGGATAGAGGGAGCATGTGGGTGACCTCCCAACCCCCGGTTAGCGAGGGGGGGGGGGTTCACCTAGAAGTGGCATTTTCCCATGGTAGTCTTTTTTTTTTTCCTTCTTTCTTTTTTCAGTTGTGTCCCTTGTCTCTGCCTCGTTTTAAAATAGTAATGTTAAAGTCCCACTTCACACTAAAAATGTGTTTTTGTCTCGATATTTTCACTTGTAAGTCTGAGCTCCACGGTGCCGAATGACTCATGTGAGTTTGACACCGGCCGCTTGTTTAGACACGGAAAAGGAAAAAGCGAATAACAACATGTGCGCGGGTATAAAATTGTTTTGCCTTAAACCTCTATTTAGACCCGCCCTCTTTTCTTCACTCCTACTCCCCGTCCCCCCCTCTTCATTTCCTCCTTTCTTAGCTTCCCCCGTTGTGCTGCCTCCCTCCCCCCTTCACTCTTCTTCTCACCCTGCACTCTGGTATGACAGGTATTGAGTAACAGCAGTATGCCTGGGGTTTAATGTGGGATCTAACTGCAGCTTATCCACAGTGTGTTCACTGTGAAAGACCCCTTATCAGAGGGATGAGAGAATGTGTGACGGGTCACATCAGGTCGGCCCGTGTCTGCGGGCGCGTTATTTAATTTTGTGGTGACAAAGATCATGTCATTACGTCTGTTTATAATATCTTTGTGAATAACGTTTTGGCTCTTTTGTAGAGTACTCGTATACATTCTCAATTTTGTCCGTACTTTTGTTGTTATTATAAAGGCCTCTTGTAAAGTGTTAATTCATATCCGCTGTGACTCGCAGTCAATCGGATCCTATTCCACCTGCTGGCAGACAGACAGGTCGGTTAGTCATGAGCGTGCCGTGCAGCGGGGAGGAAGGTCATGCACAAAGTCAAGTTTAAAGAAATCACTCAGTAATACGTAAGACTCTGTCATCCAAGTCCTTATCTCACATACAGTCCCACCCACTCAAGGAGCCCCCAGTCCAATGCACACACATTATTATAGGTATTCCTACCTTAAGTACTGTCTGGTTTCATGTCTTTCAATATCTTGTCTTTTGCTGTTCCTTGTCGTTATCCCTTCTCACTTTTAAAGCGCTTTGTTTGTTTCGCTAGACAATCACTGAGTTATTTGGCACTGACCTGGCTGGTTAAATACAGGAGGTTAAATAAAAACAAACACACAGTCACACTTGCACATCGATAACAAGCCTTCCTCGGAGTCGTGACGCACAGCGTTGATGGATTGAAAAGATAGATGTGGGGGCCTCGACGTGGAGGAGAGGTCAACCAGAAGTTCATTCAATATCCAGTGCATCCAGCTTATTTGGGGTTTTCTTCCCGTCTTGTTTGTCTTT